TACATGTGCTTTGGACTCGTTCTGGACATGGGACCTTTTTGCTCTGGTCAGAGTTTTTGATTTCTCCGTAGTTTAACATCTTGCTTCCTCTGTAACTTGCATTGAACACTTCAATTTTCACACGGTGTTTAAAACATTGTCCTGAAGACTTGATTTCCCTAAAAGTGAATCAATGAGTGGGAAGCACATTAACAAAAAAAGAGACAACAAAAGAAGAAAATTGTTTTAGAGTTCAAGAAAACCCAGACCATCACTAACGTTAGATGCTAGATAGAAATTTTGTAACATATTTCGTAGAGATGATTCTTACCAAGCAGTGTAATCTCCAGAATCAGAAATGTTGAGGTTTAAGAGAAACAGTGCTTCGCCTTGGTAATGCACCCTGGCTTTCTTATCAGAGGAAATATTCTGAATTTGGGTGCTATATTTGTACCATGTAAAATTTTTATTGTTGAAGTTTGGTTCTAAAATAAAAGGTACATAAAAAAGAGACTCCCCTTCAAGAACTGTAATGCTCTCCTCATTCATAGTCTCACATTGTGATTTGCCAGAATCTGAAACTGAGGGAGAAGCAGATAGAGGTGATGATAAGTGCAAATGCAAATGTGAAAGGTGTGTTGCAGATGCTACAATGCTGTACGATGAAATGAAAAAGTTTATGAAATGTTCCTTTTCTTTTTTGCCTTAACGATTTTTATGGCCTTTCTGTCTTGCCATACAATTTTACCTTCTACATTTTGGCTTTGATGTTTTGCTGACCCATCAATGAGAACTTTTGATATAACTTTTTCTACAACTTGCTCAAAATTGTCATGATATGTATTTCACATCAGCGGCCTTTTGAGCCTGATTAATACTGGGTGTGCAGCTTCACCATGGTTTCATTGCAAGTTTAAACCGCACACGCAAATGAATCATGTACTGTATACACCACCTGATTTCCATTCTGATACGGATGTCACCACTGCAACAAGAAAGAGAAGCTGGAAAGCACCCATTAGCTGAGAGAGAGAGAGAGAGAGAGAGAAAGGACATTCAAAGCCAAACCACACTGTTCTGAATCATGTGATATATTTCATATTTAATTACACTAATTTATTAACTTGCTTTACTCATACACTGTCAGCCCTGCACATAAGCTTTTACCATGGCCTCAATAGCTTAAAGTGCTTCTCCCTATCTGTTCCACAGATAATGTGACAGTTCAGTGATTCTTGAGATAAGGGACAAAACATGTCCGGCAGATAAAACCCAATTTTGTGGTTAAAAATATGCATACAAGTGTTAACCCAACTGCCTAAAAGACAAAC